GGCCTCGGGACCCCTCCCGGCCGGCGCCCGCGGGACGGTGCCGCCTCCCGGCCTGAGTCTGCTCCGGGCCAGCCGGGGCGGTCGCGCGCAGAGGCCGGGAACTGGGCTGCTCTGGCCCGGCCCTGGTCGGTCCCGGGGCGCTAGGGGCCTCCGCCCGCCGCCGGGGCTCGCCAGAGGGTGCGCGGAACCCAGAAAGGCCAGGGGTTCGAGCCCTGATCGGCCCGCGCCTCCCCCTTGCGGGTCCCGAGGTCGAACGCACCTCGCCCTCCTGCACCTCACCTTCTCTGCGCCTAGGATAGAGAACAGCCCCCTCCCGCGTCACCCCAGAGCAGGCATGGGAGTAAGGAGTTACAGCCTGGAAGTTTTATTTTATTTATGTTTATGCCATGGGCTGAGAATCTCTCCCCCACCTCCCCATAGAGCAGCAAATCCGTGTTGAACTGAGGGTGGGGTCCGTGCCCCGTTCTGCACCCAGAGCCCAAGCTGTAGGAGGCAGGGCTAGGAGAGGCTGGGCAGGCACACGTCTAGGAAGGGGCGGCCCGTGCACGTGGACGCAGGAGAAAGCACCGAGGAGGACATGAAAACCCGACGGCCTCCCCACGGGACTCCGGGGAGCCCCATGAAGGCGAGGATAATCCTTCAGGCCTGGAGTGGACCCCAGCAAGAAGAGATTCATTCCTGACACTGACAGGCGCCCGAGAGGAGGCCACAGCTGGGTCCGTGTACCGACCCCCAAGGCTGTCCTTCAGCTCTAAGCGTCCACTAGGTCTCTGTCCCTTCTCGTGGCTGGGGTTAGCTATGGTACAAACACCAAAATCTCCCTCACCTGCGAGATCCTTGGGACAGTCTCTCCTTTGAATTCCCTGATTGGCCCCTTAACACATCTGCATACCTTTTTGTTTGCCATTTCTAGTGAGAAGAGAAGAGCAAGAGGCATCCTCCCCTGTGGGATTGTGGGATTTTAAACTTCAGTCGTTTTGTTCTCAGGATAACATTCCTGTTCAAGTGGTGGCAACATTGCTAAATGTGGGAGTGGCTAGGACAAAGTTTCTAAGTGATGATAACCTCTCTCACCCCATAACCTCTGGTACCCCAAGGTCCTGCTTGGAGAGCCTCAGGCTTCAGTCCTGTCCCTGAGGAAGCCAGCCCATGCCAGAAGGCGCTGCCACCCACCTGGACCGCAGAGGCTCCCAGGACTCCACTCCACCGAGGTTGCTTCTGACCGCAAGTGTCCTTATTAAGACAAGCTCTTGGTAGCTCAGTTTTATTTCAAAAAGACTACGTTCAATGTATCTGTCAAATCTCTTTTCCTAGCCTTATTTCCTCTCCTGTTCGAAAGGCCAGGCCATAAAAAGTTGGCTGGAAGGGTTTGGCCCGCAGAAAATGTTTCTCCTCATTAAGAGAAAACTCATCACTGAAAGGGACATTATTAAACTGAGATTCTTTCTAGATATGATAATCCCTCCACATCAAATGATTTAACTTTATATTAACTACACTTTCACTGAAAAAGTATTCAGTCAACTTGTGCAGATGAAGGGTCCAGTTTTCCCCCAGGAACCATTTTTATACCTAAGAAGTGTGGGAGAGTTTATTTGCAGGCAACAGTGTTGGTATCAGATGGCGGTTCAAAGTAGCTAGCATGACCATTTCTTCAGAAACCTCTCTCTTGCTTTTTCTTCAGTCTCTCTTCTCCTGAGCCTTGTCCACCTAGGCCTCCAAGCTAATCCACTCATATAAAACTGTGGAGGACTTGGGATGCTATCCCTACATGTGTTGGTCTTGGAAACAAGTGACCTTTTTCAGAAATGAATCTGTAAAGGCAAATCCATTTCCTGTACCTCTTCTTTCTGGATCTTTCTGGCTCTCTCTCTCTCTCTCTCTCTCTCTCTCTCTCTCTCTCTTTCTCTTTCTCTTTCTCTCTGACAGGGGCTCCCTATACTGTTCAGACTGGCCTTAAGCTCGTTTTGTATCCCGTGCTGGTCTTCAATTTGGAAATGTATAGGCTTACAAGCTTCTCAGAAAATAAAAGTGCATACTTCCTGGTTCCACCCTGCTTCGAACCTGATGTAAGAACACCTAACCTTGATTAAGAGCAGAAGGTTATATTGAAATGGTAGAATAAGCTTCAAATTATATCAAACAGTCAGGTTTACTTATGCATATACAAAATAACAAGAGAAAATATTAATTTTAATTTACAAGTCGTCAAAAAGCACCTTGTGGGCCACATAATGAATAGCCCCATGTTAAAGTAATAGATGTTTGTTCTTTCACAAAATAAACTTCCTTCTGAAATATAGACATCTGTCATGGGCTCAATTATCTTGCACAGCATGTTCTGTAAAAGCACATAAAAGAAATAATATACTACATTGCTTATTTGAAAGTGATCAGGAATCCGCAGCTCCATGCTGGCATGTCTTTAATTTCATGGTGTTAAGAAAAAACTATGGGGGTATGAAATAGCACACCCTTTCCTACTGGAGTACTCATTCAATTACCTTTCGTGATACATACAGGAGAAAAGATTGTTCTTCATTAACTGGCAGAAACACTATTGTACTATTTTCTGTTTTACTCAACTAACCCCTATAGAGAGAAGGGAACATGGAGTTTCCTTTGAAAACAAAGGGATCCTCACGCTCTGATCAGCTCCTGGGTGTGAAGGCGAACAAGGCTGGAGACAGTATTCTGAGGACATAAATTATCATAGAAATGAGACTGGAGTCTTAGGCAATGTATGCATCAGAAAGACCTCAAGATTTGCAAAGCGCTAGAAGAGGTAGTTTAGGCTAAGTCAAATTTTCTTGCTATCATGCAAATGTGAAACCTTTTTTTGGTCAGGAAAACTCCCATTCTCCCTTTTTGTTGCATGATACACATGTAAATAAAATAACAAAATATTTTGCCGAACGCTCCACCAGGTTAAATACACAGAGCCTTGTTGAATACCCCATATTACTTTTGCTGTGACACATTAAAATAGACTTGAAAAAAAACTCTTACGGGGAATATTTTAATAGCTTCCCAGAGAGTAGAATGTATTATCATTATGGTACAAAGGGCATCATTCATTTTTAATTCTCTGCTCCACAGGTGTTCCCTACCCAGACTTTGGCTGACACCAGAGGATCTAATTATGATTCATACATCCACACTGCTCAGGAACTGGTCTTTCTAATTTCACACAGTGCTGTTACTGAGAGGAGAAAAATCCACTCCAGTCCTGGTAGCGAGACACAGTGCTTCTCAGTCTGATCCACACTTTCGAATCACCGAGGGAGCTTTAAAAGTCCTAGTGCCTCAGCCAGGGTTCATACCAAATAAGCAAGAATTTCTGGGGAGGGGATGAGGGGCTGTCTTGGTTACTTTCCTCTCCTTGCTGAGACAAAATACTTGATGCCTATAATTAAGAAAGGTAAGGTTTATTGAGCTCACAGTGTGTGGAGGTTTCAGTCCATAATCAGCTGGCTCCAGAACAGGGTAGCCTGGCAGGGGGCTACAGTTCAAGGTGGCAGAGGGCAGCAGAGCCACAAGAGCTGGGGGGCGGGGAAAGCCTCTTTTTCTCCCTTACACTGTAAGCAGGAGATCTACCATCCCCCAAAACACACACCTAGGGCGGGTACTGCCCACACCGTCTCTGTGCCCTCCCCTTGCACAGGCTCAGGATATTTACAAAATGAGGACCCTGGCTCCCTGCTGAGTCCCTCACTTAAGTTTCTAAAAATCTCAAGTTGACACAATGTATTAGCCATTACAGAGGCTGAGGATAGATATTTATTTAATTCCCCAGGTAGTTTTTGTGTGCAGTAAAAGTAAATATTGATAAAATATGAATACACAGCAAATAAAAATAAACTAGTCTTTGAAAATACACTATTTAGGGGCTGGGGATATAGCTCAGCAGCACAGTGCCTGCCTGGCAAGTGTGAGGTTGTGAGTTCAATTTCTGCTACCAAAAAAGTAGCATAAAATACATTATGCAGCAGGAATTTTTTTGCCTACTAGTTACAGTGTAATTTTAACCTTTCTTTTTAAATGAAAAAAGTTGTTGATTTTGTTTTTCCATACCAAGTTTGGTTCCCTATCCTTATGTTGGGGATCTATGTCTAGCTTTGAGAGCAATGACACACAGTGGAAACATGACCTCTTCTCATATGCGTGGCGTTGTGGTCAGAATCAGTATAAATCACTAAAGGAAAACAGACTTGGGGGAAATTGAATCTTATATATCTTCAATTCCCACAAGGAATCCTCTGAGCTACTAAACCATTATCCATTTTAGCAGTGAAAAAACTGACACATGCTTAAAATTAATTCTCCCTATAAAATTTAAGGTTCAGAAAGAAAATAACAAGAACAACCAGAGTCATCAATTTTATGTAGATTCAGCACTAATAAAGAGGCAAATATTTGATTCTCACAAAGAAGAATTAAAATGCTGCCGATGATTTGACGTAACACATGCCTGTGAAATCAAAATAATCTAATCCCAAAGATTATACATGATAGTCTATATACAGTATTATAATATAAACAATAAAACTCCCCATGCACAATGTAATAATGATGGAATGATACAATGAAGCAGAATCAGGAAATACAGGGATCAGCCAAATGAAACTGTGCATACAGTAGATTTTCTTTATCTATGCAAGATATGTGCCCCACAACACCCACCCCAGTGAATGCCTGAAACTGCTCATCATACAAAGACCTATCGTGTTTTTCTGTATACACACATAGCTACAATAAAGTTTCACTTACAAATTAGTTAGAAAATAGTCTTTGGCAATTTTTCATTTAATATCTTAGGACCAGGTTGACTGTGGGTAGCTGAAATTGTAAATCAAACTGAAGTAAAGGTAGGTGACTACACTGGAGAAGTTCAGTAGGCCGATAGTGTCCAGGCAGCAGGGATCACAAGGCGAACCTGCAAAGATGACTGGCCGTCTAAGCAGCTGGCTTGGCAGTGGTGGTGGAGGCTAAAATAGCTGCTGAGGCACTAGAGCTTTCTGGACATAAAGGATTCTGACATGCCCTTTCCCCCATTATAAATGTGTGCTGAGGCTGCCAGCAACCTCAGTGGGCCAGTGTTTGCCTAACATGCTCAGGGTTCTGGGCTTGCTCTCCAGCACTACAAGAAAGAAAGGAAAAGAGGAGAGGAGGGGCTAGAGCCAGAAAGAGAGAAGAGAATATAATTCCTCACTAGATGAGCTAATTTAATTCCTAGCAAAAAAAGAGAGGGAGGCTCATTTTTTTTCCAGTGAAAAACATACAAATGTTATTGGGACACATAAATCAAATTGGAAGGACTGTTAGACACTTTTAAAATATTTAGATGTATGATCTCAATTTTGTCAAACAAAAAATACGTTAGACATCTCTAGATTTTTCAGAATAAGCCTGCACATTTTTTGTTCAAGGGATCAATATTATTTTTACAGGCAAAATCTGCCTCCTTTGTCCTATTCTGTTTCCAACAATTTGAGAACTGAAAATAAGGCATATTTGCTTCACAAATTTAGACGTATTTATGTTTCTTTTTCTTTACCCAGCTGTAAACTCATGTCTCTATTTTAGGTTATAAGCAGGATGGCGTTACAGAAATGCTTCCAACAAGAAAAGTCCCCAGATGTATAAAGAATGACAAGGATTTTCTAGTCATATTTAGCAGCAAAAGAAAACCACGTAAGAATGCTGGTTTTATCACAAGTAGAAAAATTGTTCCAGGCAGGGCACAAGAAATCAGAATATCTAGTTCTCATTATTGTGCATTTATTGATAATGAGTTCAGTAACATCCATATCACTTCTTTCCTTTTTATATGTTTTCCATTACTCAGGAAGGATTGGCACAGAAGACTGCAAATTTCCTTCAACGTGAAATTATTATATGACAAAAAATAACTCAGAGTTATTAAAGGGAGAGCTTTGAGATTCAAGCCAAATCCCATTTCTGAAGCGTTTTGAATCGCAGCGTTTTCGTGATGCTTGGGCACCCAGGCTCTATGCTGGGTGCACAGAAAGGGCGTGGCATGGTGGGGAGGCACCCCTGGGAGTCCTGCAATAAAGGCAGGGAGTCCTGGGGCAGGACACCCAAGGCACCATGTGGGGCAAGCAGAAACACCACAGTGGCACCCAGGACTCGTAGGCAGATTTGTTCACATCGATGGGCACTGATCAGGATCAGTCCCAGAATATCAGACTCAGATCTCTGGCAGTCTAAGGCTTATAAGAGATATGCAGGCAGGAAGCACAGAGGCAGAATGGCTTATCAGTTGGGGACTGGGTTATACAATGTGCATCGCAGTGGCCAGCTCTGCATTACAGTGACCAGCTGTTTCTAAAACACAGAAGCTAGCAGAACCTAGACAGGAACTGTTACCAGGGCAACTAAGAAACTGAAGCATACCAGCTGGAGGTGGGGTGGGGGTGGGGTGCAGCTTAGACTACAACCAGATATCTGCATACCTGCTTCAGGGTTGGAGGAAGTTGCTCCTGCATGCTCTTGCCGGTGGCAGGTAGGCTGGTCTCCGCAGCAGTAATGGGAACCATTGTGTAGGGGGATGAATAGAGGACGCTGCCTGTGGCAGTAGGAACATCCAAGAGTGTCTGGCAGCGTTACATCCATTTTCTCACTTGCATAACTGGGTTTGCTGAGCTGGGGTGAATGGAAGGAAGGAGTTGGGTCAGTGCTTGAGGGAGAGCTGTGAGAGCGGTGTGCACACCTGGGACTGTGGGAAGGTGATAGTGACGAGTGAACTTCTGAGGACCCGGGGGCAGCAATGCAGAGGGACAGGCAAGCAGGTGTCTCAGGGCTGCTTTGTGAAACATGCATGGCAGGTTGCCTGCAAAGGACAGCCTGGTAGAAAGACATCTTCCCACATCATCTAACTAGGGTGAAGCCTGCTGGGATGAGTATTAAAGGAAAGGCACCTGAATGGAGGATTACTGGGGACATTTGTGTTACAGGAGGTTTCCTATTTTTTTAAAGATTTCTTTTTTTATGTATTTATTTATTACAAGGTTTCACTATGGCCCACTCGGCATGCCCAGGTGTGGGGCTGACACGGCATGTGGTGCCAGGGATTGAACCCTGGTCCCTGCACTTGCCTAAGCAGGCACTTAGTCCACTGAGCTATCTCACTGGCCCTAAAAAAGACTTCTTTTGTATTGTTGAATGCATACTGCTCAATGCCTACACTTAATGAATCTGTTTCCCTTAAAAAGAAACAGGAAAAATATAGTGAATCAAGTGGTTTATCTCATTTCTTCTTGCATAGCTTCTCCACTTATCGCTATTTCGTGGCTGCATATTTTTAAGAATGTGGTTTTGGTTTTCATTCTGCAATTTAAAAAAAAATCCATTATGGAAGATAAAGTGATAAACCAAAAATGTGCACACACTAATCAATGTAATCAATGAGAATATTATCTTGTGTCACAAAAGAGTCTGGAGATGGCGTGAAAATTTACAACCATGAATAGGAGGATTGTTGTGCAATTTCCAGGAAGGCATAATCACATTAGTCCTTCAAAATGAGCGAGGAAAACAGCTGGCTGGACAGATTGGACAGTGGGAGATGGGGCTGGAGAGAGAAGGCCTGAGGAGAACTGGGCTGCTCTTGCTGGCGTTGAGGACAATGTGCAGGACAAGCCAAGGAAGACACAGAAGTCTGGACACTGCGCTCAGGCCAACACGATGGGCCCTCAACCTCGCAATCCCAGGAAGGGGAAGCCTGCCAGCCACTGAAGAGGCCAGGATGCGAGTGCCTCTCCAGGCCTCCAGAAAAGGGCGCACTCCTGCCCACATTTTTATTTTGGCTCAGTGTGATACCTCCTGACTTCCAATCTACACAACTGTAAGATTATTTTTTTCAAAAACATGTTCCAAGGCAGAAGGCATGTAGAACTTTGTTCAGGCAACCATAAAAAGTATGATACATGCTCCGTCTAGTGCAAGAGCTGAAACCTGTGCCCGCTCTCCTCTGGCTTCCTGCATCTCCTATAGGATTAATATTTAGCTAATGTTCGGTTTCTGCCTGAATTTGAAAGGAAGGTAAAAATAGGGCAGATCGAAGGGGAAGGAGTCATTGTAAGTCCGCATCATCTAGAAAAATCTTTAGAAAACTGGAAGCACAATACTGCAAAGAAGGAACAATAGGAACGATGGAGTTGAGAGGGAAAGTCAACCTGTGCTCATGGCTGGGCCCGCTCACTACATTCTGCTTGTAAGTGCAGGAAAATATGCTCCCAAGCCCTGAACAGGGCAGGCCTCTGTCCCTTATGTACTAGGTCATCCTTTGTCAAAAAGCTTAGCCAAAGCCTTGAAGAATTAGTATTCT